ATGATGTCGTTTGCGTATTCAAGATCAAACAGTCCATTACCTGGGAGCAAACCGATGCGGCTTTCCGCACACCACAATGAGGCTGTTCCAGAATCCCATCAATGAAAATGCTAGATAAAAGCGAATAGAAGGCAACTCTAACAAACACCACTCCCCTTAGTGAACTCAGGTGAAAAAGTGCTTTAAACTAGGACTCTACCTCGCTTGTTAGCATAAAGGGATCGTAATATTGAAATAAACCTCGGGCGCATCCTTCAGGGAAAAGCAACCCCTGAGTTTAGACCGGTCGACTGAGTCGAAGGTCCGGTTCAGATCGAGAAGGATAACGATGTTAGGTCTACGATAAGAGTCTGTTTTCTAGAATTTGACAAAGAGAAAATGTGGACACATCCTCGACCGAGTCTAAAATCCACCTGGTTCTCATACGTTTACCGTTCACATGCAGCAGACAGTCAGCATAGTATTATTCCCTCGAGAAGCTTGGAGTTAGTGTTAATTAAACTAGTTCGTTTGACTTTCACAAGAGGACCTATCACCCTTGTTGTAAATCGGTAACTTAGCCGACTCTCACCACTCAGTTGGAAGCTGTTCCCTCTCCTACGATGAATCCAAGAGTTTCGTTTACTCCAAAACCGGGACTGAATTTCCATACCTCAACATCAGTGGGACAGCCCATCCAGGCCGGAAGCCGTTTACTTTTTAAGATAACTGATTTTCCTGGAACCTCCATTTCAGATGGTGAACTGATACTAACTGATAGTATTTGCTCAATTGGGGTAAGAATTGCCAGTTATAGTGTCGATGAGGGGCCGCTGAACTGACCCTAGAAATGTTGAGCCTATCGTTCAGGACGACGTTCCTGAATATAAATCAAAGTTCTGTTGGACTCCTTAATTACCTCACGTACGCCTACTTCCCTTGAACCCGTACTCTTAATTAACCGGAAAAGAGTGCGACTGTTACCAATGGCCGCAGTCGTTTCCGTCTCTTTACATTTTGCTACTTACCACTTGTCGCGGTCATTCTGCAGGCTCTTCATGGGCTGACTTTCAAGGGATTTGCTCACGACTGTTGCGGTGTCCCTTGATCAAGCACTTTGGAGCAGTTGAAATTCATCCTTCTGTTCAGACGAACTGCAATCAGTTGATGGGTAAACGGACACGAACAAGCGCCAACGTTACGTTCTGTAGCTGCAAACTCGTACTGAATTGTCGAGATGTGGAGAACAGTCAACTACTCGGCGGAACCCAGTCAACAAACCAGTGCTCAGCTTTGACACTTGGCGCAATGCTGACTGTAGGAACACCGTGGGTTTCGGATACCGAATCACCTGACGCGAAGAGTGAAGCGTAAGAATGAGTTTGGATCTGGAGAACGCAAGGTCATGATTAAATTAGAATCTTGTATGCGTGTTTCGGAGACATAACATACGTCTTGATTGAAAGTTTCAGGGGTTCCAGCTAAGGCAGCTTGTTGACCGATCCCGTAGCGTGTGAAAATCAAATGAGGCTAAATGAAGACGAGATTCCGGTTTTGTCAGTCCTATAACACTTGATTGGTTGACCTTACTAGGTAAACGCTGAGTGATGTCCCATGTATGACGCAAACAATAGGCGTCTCCTATGATTTGGGAGTGGGAGATAAAGGTTTTCAGAATGGACGTCTCAGACTTAAGGGCACGGCATCGCGGCAGTTACCCAATGGGGAGGTTTTTCTTTGAGAATCCCGACTGGAGCCTTGTACTCAATAGTCTGGCCCACAAGTCAGTTAGACTTAGATTTAACTGGAGCACTGCAAACCTCCGCTTCATACGCTCACTATCGTGCACGAAACAGACTACTCAATGCATGTTGCGTACCGCTTTCAGATAACTCATTCCTGGTGCTGAAGGAATATGGGTTGAACATTTTAATCTTCGTTTAGATCACCGTTTAACCCAAGTCATCGCTTTCCCACGCCATACTACCTACGCTCCACCACCCGTTACGGTAATATCAGTGGTCATCAGGCATCTCAAACCGTGAAAGACTACGGCTTGGGACGGAATACTCTAAAATGTATTTTAGGTTATTTTCGGTCTTTGTGCGCTCATCACTAATTAATATGCTCAATTTGAGGAATAGATCTGTCCAAAAAAACTAAAAAGACCAAACTAAAAACCAAAAAACCACAATAATTTTACTCTCTGAGCATTTGTGCGGGACGAAATAAACGGTAGTCTACGCAGAATTGAAAGAATCAATCTCCCTTATCCGTTCGCTGGCAGGGCGTGCTGAAATGATGAACAAACACCCTTTGGTGTTTCTCCCTTTCGGGCCTCTGATTGACCCCTGAAGGCGCACCACAAATAAACGATGGAAATTTAATTGATGAATGACGCTTCGACTTAAATATTGAGTACAACATCTACTACACGCTGTCCTGCTGAACGATCGTCGTCGTCTGATGTATGGAGGAAGTACCTCGAGGACAAATCCGGCAGCCGCAAAAATCGACCACTAAGGAGTCTATTTTACGCGCCAGAAAGGCTTGTTGACCCACTTGCATCAGATTCCTCTTGTTGAAGACCCACAGGTTCACTGACTGACGAGTCTTCAGAATCTGCAGTTTATTTGGAAACTACTTACAGTTCTATTTGGTAACAAATTTTGGCGAATGGCAAAATAGGTCTAGTGGAATGTTACGAGTCGGAATAGCGGAATAGGATGTACGAACAGTAGCTTGTTTACCACCATTCTCCCTGTTCAGTCCAATGGGCGGCACGGTCCTGATTACTCTGCGCAACGACCGATGCAGCATAAAATTGTTTTTGTGTGCACGAGTTTGATGGACGGGTACTGCTAGGATGTCCAGCCACTAGGCAGGAGCACAATTAGGGTTCTCGTCCGAAGCCTTCAGTTCTGTCAGGAACCTAAACGCAAGGCAGCGGGAAAAGCGCAACGGAAACTCATCTACTTGGATCAATTACTTCATGAGATATCTGTTCGAGTCGAACCCGCAACCTGGAGGGCCAGGAGACTGGACCTTATCTGACCTTTCAGGGATGATAAGATCGGCTGGCGTGACTAAAGCTATCCTGCCTAGCTCGTTGTGAACATATATATATATATATATATATATATATATATATATA